AAAAAAAAAAAAAAAAAAAAAAACACACTAGATGCGCAAATCTTGAAAAGAATCTACTAGACTTGAACGTTGTGTTTCTCAGTTTGGGACCAGAGTAATAGCGGCCCCAAAAAGAGCTATGCAACAGGATAGTTGGAGGTTTATGGTTATTGAGAGTGACTCTTACATTCACAAAGTCACGAGAGCTAATGCTCAAAGTCGTTATAAGAGATGATGTGGTGAAGTGTTGGTGGAGTGAATAAATGAGGAAAGTTACAGACGGTGGCAGAGAGAGCGGCGGACCACCACAACATCCGGCGGGGGAAAAGAGAAGGATAAAGAAGACAGAGAGGAAGGGGATGACCACACCTCAATACTGGAATGCAAAAGAGATAAGTTGATTTTTTTTTTTTTTTAATTTTATTTATTTATTTAGAAAGATGAGGATGTGAAGGCATTGAATGAATGAAATGATTTGTTTGAGGTGTTGTACTACTCCAAGGTGACATCATGAAGTTAGGGTTTGTAATGAAGTAAAGGCACATCCGAATTGAGAGGCCGTTTTGATGGGGAAATAAGAGGTTTTAAAAATGATGTATTTAATGTGTTGAGAGTGTGAAAGAGAGAGGTTGAAGATAGTAAATTATGGAGTAATTCTTTTCACCATACCCTATCTCTTTATGTGTCCATTAAATGAATTTTGATACCCTCTTAAACACCCTCTCTGCAAATCTCACCAACCTTTCTTTATTCTGTCCTCCTCATATTGCCATTGCCATTGCCATTGCCTCTCCATTTCTCTCCTCATCCCTATCTTTCCCTTATTTATTCTCTCAACCCCATCCGACTCAACCCAACTCAACTCGGTTAGTTTCTGATTCAATTTTGGTTGTTTATTGTTTGTATTAAATGTAGGGATAAAAAAAATCAATGTGTGTTGCATGTTGTTGTTCATATTATTGAAGGTGGTGGTGAAGGGGTTTGATCATAATAAGAAGTGGAATTTCGGGGAAGATGTTCGATCAAGATATGTTCCATGCACTACACCCTCACCATCATATGTTTGACATGGCGTTTAACACCTCCGAAAACGAGTTGGAAGATGTGAGAGATGATGATTTTGAGTCCAAATCAGGACCTGAAATCACCTTTGAGCCGCCTTGTGAGAGTGAGCATCAACAACGCGCCAAGAAGAGACGTTATAATCGCCATACACACCACCAAATCCAAGAAATGGAAGCGTAAGCATTTTTTAAACCTTAATGATTATGTGGAATAAATCAAATTATATGGAGTTTGTTATTGTTGTTGTTGTTGTTGTGTCAGATTCTTTAAGGAATGTCCGCACCCAGATGACAAGCAAAGAATGGACCTTAGCCGCGAGCTGGGGTTGGAGCCATTGCAAGTCAAGTTTTGGTTTCAGAACAAACGCACCCAAATGAAGGTTCAAAACCCTTTTCTTTATTTATTCTTCTTCAACAAATTATGGTTTACTTAACTTAACCTAACCTTTGTTTTCTCTTTCAATGCGAGAAGGCTCAACAGGAAAGACATGAAAACGCCATTTTGAAAGCCGAGAATGAAAAGCTTCGAGCTGAGAATACTCGTTACAGAGAAGCATTCGCCCACTCCACCTGCTGCCCCAACTGTGGTTCCTCCGCCACTGCCCTCGGCGAGATGTCCTTCGACGACCAACATTTGCGCATTGAAAATTCTCGTTTGCGAGATGAGGTACGAGTGGTTAGGGTTTATGACTCACCCTGTTAGACGAATACGACTCTCCACAATAGTATGATATTGTTCAATGGAGTTAGTATTTAATCATTCCCTAAATTAGCTGATGTGGGACATTCATCATCCAACACTTCTCTTCGAACAAAGTACGCCTCTCCTTAATCAAGGCTCGACTCCTTTAGAGTCTAAGTCATTTTTTACTGCCTTCGAAGAAGCTCGACCCCTTCTCTTTTTCCCTAAATTAGCCATCGTGGGTCATTCATTATCCAACACACCCAACACATTCATCTTTTAAAGTGTGACAGCTCCTTCCAAGATTTGTTGATAGATACGAGTAGAAAGCTGTGACATTACTGCCCAACATTTATTGCAAATTTATTAATCACTAATAAAGCCCACATTCCTTTCCTTTTCAATTGGTTTTTTTTTTTTTTTTTTTTTTTTTTTTTA